AAAGACTGCTGCTTGTGGGAGGGCATCACATGCGACAAGCGGAAAGGTCACGTGATTGGCCTTGATCTTACCAGTAATTGTCTTAAAGCCAATCTAACTACAAATAGTAGTCTCTTCCGCCTTGAGAAATTGCAAAGTCTCAACCTGTCTTACAATTATTTTCATTACCCTAATATGTCATTTGGGTTCGACCGTTGGAAGAGTTTGACATATCTTAATCTTTCATGTACGAGATTTCATTTCTTCACTTTTATTTTTTATTTTTTTAAATTTCCATGCTTCTGAAACCGGTTTCACTTCTTCTAATGTGACAAATCTTTAACCTTACAGGTTCAGATTCAGGACGCAGGGATGGCTCTCTCCTGTTTGATGAAATCTTCTTGCCACCAAAATTGGTTTCACTCGATCTCTCTTCTAATTATAATCATGATTTGCTTCTTGACAACATAAAGTTTCAAATGCTTGTGCATAACTTAACAGAATTAAGGTTTCTTATCCTTAATTCTGTGAATATGTCTCTGGTTGTGCCTTCTTCCTCGCTAAACTTGGCTTCTTCCTTGGAGCATTTGAGCCTTCGCTCTTGTAATTTGCAAGAAAACTTTCTGAGCCAAGTTTTTCAGCTAAAGAAATTGGTCTCACTCGATCTCTGCTATAATTATGATTTGTCTCTTGACAACATAAAGTTTCAAATGCTTGTGCATAACTTAACAGAATTAAGGTTTCTTATCCTTGATTATGTGAATATGTCTCTGGTTGTGCCTTCTTCCTCGCTAAACTTGACTTCTTCCTTGGAGCGTTTGAGCCTTCGCTCTTGTAATTTGCAAGGAAACTTTCTGAGCCAAGTTTTTCAGCTGAAGAAATTGGTCTCACTCGATCTCTCTGATAATTATGATTTGTTTCTTGACAACATAAAGTTTCAAATGCTTGTGCATAGCTTAACAGAATTAAGGTTTCTTATCCTTGATTCTGTGAATATGTCTCTGGTTGTGCCTTCTTCCTTGCTAAACTTGACTTCTTCCTTGGAGCATTTGAGCCTTTGCTCTTGTAATTTGCAAGGAAATTTTCCAAGCCAAGTTTTTCAGCTGAAGAAATTGGTCTCACTTGATCTCTCTGATAATGATGATTTGTTTCTTGACAACATAAAGTTTCAAATGCTTCTGCATAGCTTAACAGAATTAAGGTTTCTTATCCTTGATTTTGTGGATATGTCTCTGGTTGTGCCTTCTTCCTTGCTAAACTTGACTTCTTCCTTGGAGCATTTGAGCCTTCACTCTTGTAATTTGCAAGGAAACTTTTTTACATCAATCTTCAACCTCACTAATCTTACTTATTTGAGACTGTCATCAAATAAGCTAAGAGGGCCTCTTCCTCGCAATATAAGTGGACTCTCATTTTTACAAGAGTTTCAAATGGATAATAATTTCATCACAGGTCATGTACCATCTTGGTTGTTTTCTTTGCCTTCTTTATCCCTTTTAAACCTCCAAAATAATAGACTTACCGGACCTATTGATCATATTGAGATGCCTAATCTCATTTTACAAGAAGTCTATTTGTCCGATAATGGGATAAGTGGTTCATTTCCTAGCTTTTTCTTTCGTCTTGTGAATCTCACCAGGGTCGACCTTTCTTCAAATAATTTAAGTGGCACCATTACAGCCAACATGCTTTCAAAACTTGTAAACCTTTGGGATCTGGATCTTTCCAATAACAGTTTGTTGTCTTTGAGCAATAATAACACTGGTGTCAACTATTCCTTTCCGAACCTCTTGTCTTTAAAATTCTCTTCTTGCAACATACACAAGTTCCCAAGTTTCTTAAAGAAGGCAGAGAGATTGGAAGTATTGGATATTTCCAAGAACAAGATTTCTGGTCAAATTCACAAATGGGAAATAGAAGGGATGTCATTGGTCAGTTTAAACCTTTCTTATAACTTCTTGACTGGTATAGATTTGTTTGCTTTTGAAAATCTTACCCAGGTTGACCTCAGTTCCAACTTACTACAAGGATCACTTCCCATTCTATCAACAACTTCGGATTTTGTGAATCTCATCATTTCAGGGAATAATTTGATTGGCGAAATCCCTTATTCTTATTGCAATTTGACTTCTCTTAATGTTCTAATCTTAGCTAATAATAGTTTGGGAGGAAAAATTCCAGAATGTCTTGGAAACTTGAGTGATCTCTCCATCTTGGATTTGCGGATGAATAAGTTTCATGGTATGATACCAAATTCTTTTGTCAATGAGAGTCAACTGATGACTCTTAACCTATATGGCAACCAGTTGGAGGGGATACTGCCACGGACTTTGGGCTATTGCAGACTTTTGCAAGTTCTTGATGTGGGGAACAACTACTTGAATGACACCTTTCCTCATTGGTTAGGTGTTCTTTCAGAGCTAAAAGTTCTCATCCTTCAATCCAATCGATTTCATGGTGCCATTTACAACTCTACACCTGCATTTTACTTCCCTGAGTTGAGAATCATTGATGTCTCGCATAATGACTTCACGGGTCTCCTGCCGAGTAGCTGTTTAAAAAATTTGACAGTTATGAGATATGTACATGAAGAGAAAGAGGAAGGTGAATTTTTTTATATGGGTGTACCTTTTGATACCATTTTGTCAAACACTGTTCCTTTCTCTTACTATGATGATTCTGTGATGGTAATACTGAAAGGTTCATACGTGGAGCTGACGAGAATCCCGATGGCTTTCTCAACTATTGATTTCTCTAGTAATAGATTCCATGGACCCATTCCTGAAGAGCTGGGAGAACTCAAATCACTTCATTTGCTAAACTTGTCTCACAATAGTCTCACTGGTCATATTCCATCATCTTTGGGGAAAATGACAGAGCTTGAATCACTAGATCTCTCATCAAACAAGCTTGATGGTAGGATTCCTGAGGAGTTGACAAGTTTGACATTCCTTTCAGTTCTGAACCTTTCACACAACAAACTTGAAGGTGACATTCCTCAAGGGAAGCAGTTCAATACTTTCTCAAATGATTCCTACATTGGAAACTCTAGGTTGTGTGGATTCCCATTGACAAAGAAATGCCACAACGAGGAAGAACCAAGAGCACCTCCATCAAAATTTGATGAAGATGATGACTGTGCAGCACTATTTAATTGGAAGTTTGCAGTGGCGGGTTATGGATGTGGGCTGGTGTTGGGACTTAGCCTCGGATACATCGTGTTCGTAACAGGAAAACCATGGTGGGTGGTGAAGAAGGTGGAAAAATATCAACAGAAATTTGTTATAAGGTGCACCCATCGGCATAAGAAGAGAAAAACCCAAAAACCCAACCAACGCTCTTAGGTGAGTTTCTACAGCCTCTTTTTATTTGTGCTCCTTCTTCTAAGCATAACAATGGATAAAATAGTCATAATAATTTTTGTAATTTTGCTTTCTTTTCCACAGCAGAAGCAGGCAGTTGGCCTTCTTTCTTCCTCCAAGAAGATCTGACAAAAATAATGTGTGCATAAGTTTAATTAGTTGACAGCATAAGCTACAGGCAGTTGCTCTTTCTTTATGTGATTGTTATTTCCTTTTTATGTTAATTATTATTATTTCATGTTCAATGTTTGTTGAAAAATTTGGCTATAAACTGGATGTTTTTGATGTTAAGACTTTAACAAGTTTTCTTCCATTCCTTTCGTTTTAACGGTGCGTTTTAATGAAAGAAAAGATTTTTTTTCCCCTTTTTTAATATGTGGGCCTGTTATCTTCTTCCTTTTACCGTACTTCTCTCTGAGCAATTAAAGGAATTAATGCCGGAAGTGGACGCATATCCGAAGGATGTGGGTTGCAAAATTGCAATTGTATCGCCTGTGAGGGGCTGAGCGATGACGCATCTGGTTAGGATGGCTGACGGTCCTTTGCGCTCTGGACGCCCAGTCTCTTGACATCGCCAACTAAAATCTTTTTCTCGTCCTTGGGTGGTCTGATCTGGAAGAAGGCAAGGTGAAGATCCAACCCAACCTGTCGTCTAGTTGCTGGATTTTAACGGGATTAGGGTAGCGGCTGTCGGCACATATTCTTTGGCTGGTGATCTGATTCATAGATAGGTAAGAAGCTGGAATTTATTTATTTATTTATTTTTTTATTTTTGTGTTTTCATTTTTGGATTTTAAACTCTTGAATTATGTTGTGATTGGGAGTTGTACAGTATCGGATTGCATAACTAAATCTGTTGGATGGGGTAGGTCGGATCCCGTCACTGTGTTAACATGTGATAATTTCTTTGAAAAAATTATGTGTATATGTAGGGTTACCAAAAATATAGAAAATATGAAGTACTTAGTGGGTGAATAAGTGTTGGATAAATGAATGATTTTTGCTTAATTACCTAACTGGATGGTATGTTGTGTATTTTGTAAACTCAAAAATCAGATAATTGTTTTCTGCTTGCGAAGATTGAAATAAAATGTTTGTTCCTAATGAGATCAGAATATCGGAAACAAAATATGTACATTAGCGTTTACTTATTTCTTTTCATCCGAAACAAAAATGTCTTCACCTGCTGTCATTAACAATTTAACATAGTGTTTATCTTGATGAATTATTTCTTTTCATCCCTTCTGGTGATGTGGAGTTCGTTTCAATGAAGGTCTCAAGAACCCAACAAGAGGCTCAAGACAATCCGGAATATTCTTATGGGAGATTGCCATATTAGTTATGGAATGTTAGTGGGTATGGATCATGTACTGATGCAGCAATCACTGGCATAAATGCCTCCTCCATTGATGTA